AATTGATTTAAAATTGGATTTGTGGTAGCAGAATAATTGTTCAGACAATTGATTTTGCAATATTGTAGTTAAAATCTAATTTTAATTTAATATACACTTAAAAAATATAGTTGTTCCGAAATATTTCCAAATATTGATTTGAAATTAAATTGTTTTGATGTACGGGTAGGGTTGGGTCTCTATCATAATTTTTTGTACTCAGGTTTTTCAATGTATTTTCATAAGCACCCACCAAAAGAAATCTTATTATCTAGTAAATTTTAATAGAACTTCATTAAAATCAGTATTTCTAAAAATAAATTATAGCAGTTTTAAATTTAAATTTTTAATTTATTTAGACAAGTAACAGCATTTTCTTAATTAATATAGAATATTTCATTCTATTTAGTTACAGTGACACTGTATACTTGTGTAGTTATTCTGAAAATATTAGATTCTTTAAATAATATTTGTAGCATTGGTCTTAATAACATCTTTAACATAAATTATCAAAAATATATAGGTATAATGTTTTTTTTTCGGGATAATGAATGTTCAAATTTTTTCGAATAAGTTATGACTATATTGTTTACATTATTACTATTGTAAATTTATTTGAAAAAATATCTAACAAATTATATTTATAAAAATTGAATAAAAGAGAAACAATTGTACTATTCTTCAATGTTAACAATAATGGTAGGTATTTTAAGTGTATGATTAATAGATAATTTAACTTAATACACAGCCAAAGTATAAATCACACATTTTTATTTTAATCTTTTTATAGTTTTTTTATAAAATAAACTATTATAATCATTTTAAATTGTTTTATTCATATTTTTAATTTGAGTATGTCAGATTTGAGAAATGTGCCAAAATGATTATTTTAATAAAAGAGTATCATTAATAGGAATAGAGCAAACAGTTACGGAATATTTTTAAATATAATATTTAGCAATAATGTGCGTCTTAGGGAAATACAGTACCGTGTCATATTGTATTTTTGAAGAAAAACATTAACAAATATTTATGCTTACTTTTTTATCTTTTAATACTACCACATCTTCATTTGAATGAAAATACTTTAAAAATATATTAAATTAACACGTACATATACATATTATTATGATTATCATGATTATCTATATATAATTCTTATGTGTTTATCTATGCTCTGGGCTACTCAATAACCTTTTTATTTTGCTCATCAAAAAAAATTTTCTTTGTTTTTTTAAACTCAATAGTTTATATTGATTCATATTATAATCACTTCTAGGGTACTTGCATCCAGCTTTTTGGGGGATTAATTATAAGAAGTAAATTTAAAATGATATCTATAAACATATTAAATAAAAAAAAAAGATCATTTTTATCATTTTATCGCTGCGTAGCTTGTTATAAATATATCTCATGTACATAGATTCTTATGGTTTACAATTTAAATGAGATCCAGGCCCGGTCAATATTTCAATAGTCCTCTCAAATTGATGATTTTTCTATATGGTTATTAGAAGTCAGCTACCCTATTCATTTTACTTTACTAGATTATTTAACCTTTCTAAAAAGTTTAAAATAAAATATTGACAATTTCATGAATTTAGTTGATAATATCAACTAAAAGTGATTATATTATAATCGCCATAAATATGAAAAAATAATTAAAATTCCAATTTCTAAGCTATTTAATGTTTTTAAAATCCCTCTTGCCTCACACTGGTTTTTTGTTTTTTTGGATGGGTCTTCAATAATTTGTTTTAATGCTTTAATGATTTCTTCCCAATTTTGTGATATACTTGACCATGCATCATGTCGAGTGTAATATTATATTATCACTTATAATATTAAAATATTATATTATGTTATCTTTTGTACATGTATGTCATATATTACGAATACACAAGATCATCAAAACAGTGTTCCCTTATTTAAAACATAAAATAATTAATAAACTAGGCAATTAAATCTGATTATCGTACAGAATCAAAGTAACGCCTATGTGTGGGTTCTCAATTAGGTATAGCCAATCACATTTAACTATTAATTAGGATCTACAGTTTCTAAGATCACACTAGGGATCGCTACACGACCTTCGTCTACTATAAAACCCTATTTTTTCCTACTAAAATCAGTTCTTTCGGCGATTTTAAAATACACAAAATCTGCGATACTCTACTCAAGATTCCTACTCTCTGGGACTTAGTTTCTTTTTTTTATATTTAATTTGGACTTAGAATATTTTTCAATTAAAAAAAAAATAGTCGTTTTTCCAATTAATTTGGATTTAGAATATTTTTCTTTAAAACTAAATGACACTTAGAGATTTTAAAGTGTACTTTGTTTTGGTGAATCTTTTTATTTTATTTTATTTGTTCATTAAACAATAATGTTTTATTTTATCATGGAAATAAATGTCAATTAATATTTTAAACCTCAACAATTTTTTTTTTAAAAAAAATATTTTTTTTACATATAATAAACCCGAATCAACTCTAATTTTTACAGTTAATGGTAAATATTTATTATATGCTAAAGGTTACAATTATTTCAGATTTAAATTAATTTAATAACATTTTTATTAGACTAAGTGTGTTGCAACTCTATACTTATTGGGTAGCTAGCCATTTTGGTCTAATGTCTTTGTTCTAATGGATATCGCACCGGTAGACAGCACAGAGAAACTTACAAATATATTTTTTAGTGTTTAATTTTACTAGCATGTACTAATTAAATGCTAATAAAAAAGTATAACTAATAAATAGTTGTAGTCGACTAATTATTAGTCAACTAAAAAAATTTCCAGCAAAATTTTGTCATATTGATTTAAAAGTGTTGTAAATCAACAAATAATGTTTCAAACCTTTTTTTTTTTATTATTCTTTTTATAGCATGTATATTTATTCAATAAAAGCNAGCGCCTTTGTTAATTGTTATGTTATTAGATATGATGTTTGCCCCACTACATTGATAATTCGTACAATTATAAATTGCTGTAATAATTAAAAAATTTCTAATTAATTACCACAAGACTTAACAAATAAGCCTCAAAATCGTATATATAATTTTTGCTTTTAGAAGGTCAGTATCTCACTATTGTTGTGACCGGGTTGGTACGGTAGACAAAATGAAGAGAGAATGCGTTTGATAANCTATAGGTCTTACTCAAATCGTTTTATTCGTAGCTGATAAAGTTTTTCGTATATGATTTTTCTTTAAAAAAATTTGTTGAAAAGGACGCGTTAATAATTTATGCATATTGAACTTTTGTCGCATGAGAGAACTGCATGTGAACTTGAATGTCATTTAGAAGCTATTAAAAGTGCGACCATATCATTTATTTTATTTTATTTTATTTTAAACAGATATTTCTTAAGCTGTTCTGGTTGACCCCGCGATTCCGATTAACCCCATTTTACGGTACTTATAATATTAATTATAATGTAAATGTTTTATGCTTACCAGTATGTTAAATATCGAATTGGATTTAATTAATTAAAATTATAAATGTTTAATATCTATAGTTATGCTATAAATACATACATAGAACATAACTACCTATTTTACGACAATAACACTCACTTATCAAATTTTAATAATATACATTTAGAAAACAAATGATGTTAACATGAATAATTTTTATATAATATTAAGTATTTTCCATTTGTAATAAGCTGTTGAATAAGTGTATACTTTTATAATATTACGTGAACAAATTTTTACATATTGTGCAATATTGAAATTTGTGCCCCTCTTCAAGTTGCGCCCCTGGCCCATGCCCTCTTGCCCTGCCCTGAATACGGCACTGATTTTATCCCATAGTTAACTGGTTATTTTGTATTTTCAATGAGAGTACTCTGTTTTGGTGATCATGTATAATCATAATATGTGACATACATCTACAAATGATAACATTATATTATATTATATCATGTTATAATATAATATTACTATCCCAATGTATAACAGATTAATATTTAAATTTTTAAAAATTTTTCTTTTTCTCTTTGTCAAGCTTAAGTTTATTAATGTTTCATTTTTAGTTATTAGATAATTTTAAGTTGTCCAGTTAACTGTCTAATGTATATTGTATTTTTTGGGCTATTGCCTGTATAATTTATAATAAATAAATAAATATTTGTACGTTTATATTTCACCAATATGAATTCTTATTCACAAGAACCGCTTCCGCCTGTAAATAATCGCTCAAAATCACCCAGTCAAAGATATATTACTATTAATGACCATCAAACAGCATAATTTTTGTTAAATTGTTGTTTTAACGCTAAGTCCGGTCATATAAATTTTGTAAAATTTAATTAATTCACTAAAAACATATGAAATCATTATGTTTATTGTTATTTTGTTTTGCTGTGTAATATAGCGCCTTTGTTAATTGTTATGTTATTAGATATGATGTTTGCCCCACTACATTGATAATTCGTACAATTATAAATTGCTGTAACAATTAAAAAATTTCTAATTAATTACCACAAGACTTAACAAATAAGCCTCAAAATCGTATATATAATTTTTGCTTTTAGAATGTCAGTATCTNATTACATAATTACAATTAGGCAGCAAAAAGCCAGTTCACATCACTATTATTAGCGTTAAAAATGTTCATATGTCATTGTTAATACTCTATTAACACTCTACATTTAACGTTTTTTCAAATTTTTAATTTCATAGGGGTACAGAAAATTAAGAATTAAATGGGGTAGATATTTTTATCGATGATTTTCATTATAGAAAACTAATTCCTGAAAAATATTATTAAAATATGTAAAATTAAGTTTTCAAATAATTACTGTTAAAATAAATATTAAACTGTATTTTTAAATGATTACAAGTAATTTATTTTGTAAAAAAATTTGTGTAAAGCAAAAAACTCATCTATTTAAATTGAATAAACAGAACTAAATTATTATTTATATGTATATATTATTCATATATTTTTGTGTTAGATAATGATATCATCAATTTTTTTTAGTAATGATAAAATTAAGTATTTAAGTAGATTTATTAGTCATTTGATGCCATTTTTCTGCACTTACTTTTAATCAGTGATCATTAATAAGGTAATTATACATCATTTAATTTTTTTTTTTATATGTTTTTGTAATATGCTAAAGTATTATTTTTCAAAAAGTTAAATTATTTTATCTCTAATTATTTTTTAAATAAGAATGTTATATACTTTTTTTACTCGTTTTATATTTTACTCATATTATTTGTAATTGTTTTAAAAAGAACATGCTTAGAAATAGGTTTTTTTATATTTTAACTCAATTTTGATTAAACGAATTTTATAAGATTTTATTTTTATAGTTGATCAAAAACTATTTGAGTTTTTCAAACTTATAATTATTTTAATGGCAAATAAATTGATATCTGCATATTTTAATCCAATAAAATCAATTAGAGTATCATTAAAAAACATTTATGTTTTAAAATAAATTTTAAATTATAAGTCATTTTTATAAAAAATAAAAATATAATTTATTTACCATAAAAAATAAAAGCTTACTATATACTGACAATATTTATGTGAATCATTTTATTCAACATTTCTTTTAACTTATTACATAAAATCAGTGGCGTAATTTGATTTTTTTTTTAAGGGGCAATATACATAAACAATTTTTCACTTCCCTTCCAAATGTACACAAATTGTATATTTACCATATTACTAATTTTTTGGAAAGAATGTGACACCTATATCCCTTCTACCATAAGTATGTCAGTGCATACGGTTATTTTATAATTTAGTCGTTTAAATATTTTTACTAAATACAATGCATACTGTTAATTTTAAAAATAAATTTATACTTTTAATGGAATATATATAATTTATTTTCATATAGAACAAATTTGAATCACACAGATTAAATTATTTATTTAAGTAATTTCCAACTGTAGGTAATTGTAATGGTTAATAAAATATCACAGTTTATTTTTTATTAACATTATATTGCAATACAAGATGATTGATTAACTATGCCTTACAGAGAACCAAGGGCAGTTAGGCAAAAAGAAATTTACCGGGAAAATATTAATTGAGATTAGAGCGGTACTTAGGCATTAATTATTGTAAATCAGAGATGCCTAACTTTTAAGGACTGCGTATTTACCTTTAGTTTCTGATGAAACCTGAAAACATTAAAAACTCTAATATATACTACATAGGTAGATTAAATATTTCAAATAATAAAACTAAAATTTTATTTAGAGCAATATTTTTTGTTGCGACAATATTTATAATATCCTCACATTGACAGAACATTATAAAATATAATATTATAATTTTTCCTTTTCAGAAGTGAATAGTATCGTTCTAAATAACATTTTTTTAAAATTACTATTTTGGACATGTTCTATAATTTAAAAAAAAAAAATTGGTTCTCTTTCCTCTCTCCTCCCTTTATGGAAATAACAACTTAGGTTATTAAAATATAATCATATATATTTAAATAGTTTAAAAATAAAAAATGACGGGTAAATAACAATTTTTAAATTAGTATTTTAAAAGATATTAGCCCTTTGAACAATGGTGGAAGTAGTAGTGTGGTTTATATACAGAGTGTTGGTTTAATAATTGTAACGAGTAGTATAATTATATTGAATAGGACCTAAAAATAGCATAATCTAAAACTAAAATTTCTTATCTCCAAAATTGGGGTTTTCCGGTTCCTTCACTTCAATTTTTATTTAAATTAAAAGTAAAAACCACCTTAATTTTTCCCCAAAATTCTCATACAAATTTAATGGTCACTGGATTTTTTTGTAAATTTCACGCCGTCCCTCAAATTTGGGTGCATACGAGTAGTTGGAAAAAAATTTCACTTTAGTATGACCATTAATTTATATTGAAATTTCACTGGAGTCCATTGATGTATAAATTTCACTGATGTAGTTTAAACGATTACACAACGAGAAAAACAGGAAAACCCGCGGATAATGTGTTTTTTTTTTTACGAGTTTATTTCATCTTTCATTATTTATTCAAACTGATAATAATTCTATATAATATAATTAAAATTGTAATAATATGTTTAATATAATTAAATAAAATATTATATTATACAATTTAAAATAAATATTAACAAGCTCAGTGATGATATACCGAATTTTGTGCCGATTACACCAAAATAATTATTTATAATTATATTATTGTATTTAAGTTTAAAATATTCATTTCAATCTTGTGATTGTTTTATTTCCCTGACTTAAAAAGAAATAAAATTATAATTTTAGTATAGTTTAATTGGTAAAAATTAACTTTTTGAAAATTTTCATATGTAATGAAAATAGTTTCATTTTAAAGCGATTAAGTATTGAAACATACAAAGGTATTACTGTATCAAATATTAATTACTTTTTATATAATTATCTTGGAGTAGATGTATAGCACAGTGTGTCGCAAGCATTTTAATAAGCGAGTTATTATTTAAAGCTCAGATAAACTGCGATACACTATTGTGTGTCAGGATCAGCACGACGGTGTCGTGTAACGGACAGCCTGACACTAAATAACGACGAGCTCATTGAGACATCTGGTTTTTAAACAAAATTACTCCTGAATTCCTGGTTCTATTTTTAATGTCTTGTAGGTTTACTCGTCGTGTAACTTGTTTTAATTTGTAAAAAACTTAACATTTTCATTATGAATTCCTGGTACCATATTCTTATTTTATGGATGACGCATCACGACGAGAGTTCATTACATTGTCGATTATATTGCCTAATCAGAATTCCTTAGTTTATTTTGTGTATTCAAAAAACTAATCAATCCGTAATCGATTATTTCTTAATATTATTTATACATTCTTACTTTGGTATATATTAAAGAAAAAGGATCATATAATGATATTAGTACTTATAAATTGAAATTCGTATGTATAAAATTACTATAATGTAAACGTTCCGAATTAGTTCATAATGTTAAGTTGCAATATATATATATATATATATATATATAAACAGGTAATATGCTTTTATTTGATATAAATTTAAATTAAGATTATCAAAGGTTGAAAAATAAAAATGTTGATATCGTCATATCATATTCAGTGGTTTACATAAAATATTTCAACGAGAGGTCTAAGTATTTATTATTCTTATGATTTATTTTTACTAGCTTTAATGCCTTATTGAATTTATTGTGAAAAATGGTGGGGGTGTTACCATCCTGTCAGCAATACATGTGTACGTCAATAATCATATCATATTATTAGTCAAAAATTTGTGTTTTTTTTTTTAGAGAGAATTTTGTGATAAACGTTCAACAATATTAAAATAATATCAATTAAAATTNAGAGAATTTTCTGATAAACGTTCAACAATATTAAAATAATATCAATTAAAATTATCTGTCATAAATAAGGTATTTTTAATTTATACTTCATTTCTTAGTATACTTATAAAATTAACATTTAAAAACAAAAATTTACGATTTTTTTTCTTTCAGCTTATAACTATAAGTTAAGATGAAGTTATTTATTTTATTCACGTTTTATTTAATGGCAAGTATTTCCTCTTATCTATTTAACAATCTCTGCACAAGCTGTAAATACTATTAAAATAAGNTGACGGCTTGGTGGGGGGGAGTTGACACGGCACCGCCTTTTGCTCTAGGCTGGCGCTCACCCGTGTCTCTCTCGATATCAGCCGTCCAGCTATTAATATGACAATCGGTTGTCATCGGTCGTCACCCCGCCCTTGACACTGAGATAAGGCCACCGCCGAATATGGATTACCGATATTGCGGTCTGTTGCGTTTAGGACGGTCACCTTAACTGGTCGATATATTTTACTTGTGCTGAACGTTTATTTTCTGTGGTTCGTTTAGTTATTTTTTTGAGTCGGTCTATTAGTGGTGGTTGCGACCAATTGCGTTTGCAAATTTGTCTCTCTTTTTTTTTTTTTGATCGAACGATTTATAGTAAGGATATATATCTGTTAAAGACCGGTAATTGGTGTGAACTTGTATTAACTTAATTATTGATTGAAGTCGTGCGTTGGACTTAGCGGTACACCGTGTTAAATATTTAATAACGAAATATATATATATATATATCTGGTAGTGCACTATAGCTACACACGTTCAACCGTAAATATTGGATACGCGTTAGAATATAATTCTATTTAATACAAATTGTTTGAAACAATTAATATGAAGTTCATACTAAATTTTTAGTTGTGCCTAAACTAATTTAGACTATAATTTAAGTATTGATTTACCAAAATTAACTTATATTTCTATATTAATCATATCTTTTTAATCAAAGTTTCTTAACAAAGGCATAAATGGATAGTAAACATAAAAAAATGTAGGCGAATATTTGGTATACGACACGTGATTTAATTTTCTGACTATTCGGGGAACGTCGATAAAATGGCGTTAAAATTATTTTATTTATCTTCTTGTTTCCTATTACATAAATACCAATGTTAATTTTATTTCATAAAAATATAATGCTTTAAAATTACAGAAAAATAAAAATAAATTAACGTAAAATAAAATAAATAACATGATTACTATAACTTGGAGGTGGNTTGAAATACGTATTGAGAAAAGGACAGAAGAAAACGCTATCTTTTCAATATACTTTTGAATGAGAGTGATAAGTAATAATTGCCTTATCTAATTTCTTATCATGGTATTAATGCCAAGTTTGTAATGTATACACATTATCATCATATGTATACACAGTAATCATGAAAAGATAGCGTTATCTTCTGTCCTTATCTCAATACGAATTTCAATGTTTAATACTGTAAAATAATACATGAAAATTCAAATTTTCACAAACTTTAAAACGCTACAGAATATTTACTACTGAATATTAATAAGATATTTTTTCACTAAAATTTTTCTTAAATTCTACTCTACAAAATTTTTTCTATTATTAACTATTCAAAGCCTACAGNATACCCCCACCATCCAGAAACCACGCCCACTATATGACCTTGACATTACCCCCACCATCGAGAAACCACGCCCACTATATGACCTTGACATTACCCCCACCATCGAGAGACCACGCCCACTGTGTGACACGCCCCTCCCCCCCGACTGCGCCCACCCACTGGCGGCTGGGTAGGTGAAGGGGTGAGGCGGGGGGGCCTAGAATCCCCTAAATTACCCTACTTATATAATTTTTAAAATTAATTGTTTTCAAATTATTACTGATTTTGATTTTTAATATGTTAAAAATAATCATTTTGAAACTACTTTTTTTTGTCCTTTATAGTGAAAGTTTTATTATTAAATTAAATCATGTAATTTTATAATTACTATTTACGTACATTTATCAGAAAAATTCGATTTGTTTGCATTTTTATTGTAATAGACAACTAAAATAGAAATAATAGTAATCATTTCCTAATAACTTTTTGTGTTTAAAAATATTGAAATAAATGAACCAAACAAAGCAAAGTTGTTAAAAAGATTTACTCAATTGAGCGTATTATAAAATTTGATTATAATTATAAAAATCCATTGTTAAAATCAGGTGAAACTAAAAATCATTTATATAGCAACATATTACAAAAAAATTTGGAATATTATAGACTGGTAGTAGCACATACAAATAGAGTTAAAAAAATAATAAATTACAAAGTAAAATTATTTACTTTTGTAGTTTAATAGATTATTAATGATTTAAATTTTTTGTATGGAAAAAGCTGTTTAAGCTACTTTTTATTTGAATAAGGAATATCTTTTTGATTTTTAAGAGTAATAACTTAAACTAAATACAAATTGTAATCATTTGACGTATCGTTGAAAAAAGTAGGTCTAGTGAGTGTTGGCAAAATAAATCGTAACCACAAAAAATCTGNTCTAGTGAGTGTTGGCAAAATAAATCGTAACCACAAAAAAAACTACATAGTAAAATAATATAAACATGAATATAAATTTCTTCTCATTAGGGGAGACTATAGTGATAGGATCCTTTATATTTATTGAAGTTATTGAATCTAAATGAGATAAATATCAAATGATTTGAAAATTTTTTTCTAACTCAAAAAAAAATACAAAATACTAATTGCTACAGACGGATATGAACCTCGTACCCTATGCGTGAAAGACACAAGTGTTACCGATTCGGCAACTGTTCGTCGCTTTATAAAATTAGCTATTTAAGCTAAGTCAAATTTAAAAGTTACTTTTTCGGCTTTAAAAAAGCAAAAAAATTTAAATAAGTTTAATTTCTTATGTCTTATGAACTTTATTCTATGTCAATTCAATTATATACTATTCATAAAAGTCAATGTATTCCCCTAATAAGTTATTTTAAAATAAAATAAAATACAAAACCCAAAATTTTAATACAAAAATAACATATATTTGAATACGGTAGCCATTTGCGCATAAAAGTAGGTCGTTAGGACAAATTTTTTTTTTATNTTGCGCATAAAAGTAGGTCGTTGGGACAAATTTTTTTTTTATTTTTATAGTACATGACATAAGCTTTAATTTGATATATGTTTAAAGGACGCAGTATTTCCGGAACATTTTCAAAAATTAAGTTGAAAAACTTAGTTTTGGTAAAAAAGTTGCTATTTTAAATCCCCTTCCAATGAGCAGGTTAAGTGTTAGATTTTCAAAAAAATGATATCAAATGAAAGGGAAATATCTAAGGTTTTAGTATAAAAAAAATTTATGTTGATTTGTTTATTTTTGAAAAAGTTATGGAAGTTTAAAGTAAAAAAAGTGAAAAAATGACAAAATTTACCGATTTTTAAATTTGTAATTTTTTCGGATATTTCCCCCATTTGCGGGAAACAGAGGAAAATTTTTCAATTTTTAAGGGTAATGTCTTCAACTAGATACGATTTTGTGATCTTTTGACATATTGTTAAAAGAAGTCGGTCTAGTGAGAGCTGAGAAAAAGTGGCAACAGACATAAAACAAAAAAAATCACATCAAGGTAAAATTAATACTTTCTCAGCTTCGCATCGAAGCTAAAATAGTATATCAAAAATAATTTAAGAGGGTCCCTATAAAGATTTTAATGAGAATTTATTTTAGCTGTCGTCCGAATTATTTATTTATCATTTATGTAGTTTTATATATTGTTCCCTTAGTCAATATTTATGAAAACCAATTGTCATATTTATCAGAATACTAGGAGATAAGGTTAACTTGTTAAAAGAAATTAACCTATCATTATTTTGAAAAGTATAACCAGATAATTTTTGTATTTAATCCCTTATCATCTTTTTTAATGGATTCTTTATAACTTCTTTATAAGGACCCCCTTGAATAATTTTTGATACACTATTAAAGTAATCTTTTTTCAGTATTACAGTTTTTCTTTTTTAAGTCCTGTATGAACCTCACGTGGAAATACAAAATGGCAGCTTTAATAGGTTGCTTTACAGATTAGTTAATATTCCGATGAATAAAATAGATTTTGATAAAGATCTGAAGGTTAAAAGAGAAATAGTCAGATTTCATTGTTATAACGAAAACGTATTTTCTAAATTATTTACATAGGACTAACAAAAAGAAATATAGGAGTTAGATTTAAAGAACACATAAGAAACATTAAAAATCAAGAAGTTGATATATCTCCTGTAGCTGAACATTTATTGACACATAATCACTCCATTAAAACTAATTAAAAACGCAAATAATTACATGGATCTTAATATAAGTAGACAGTATATTTGGAATTTGATCCACTGAAAATTTCATTATTAAACTTGTATAAATTGGAAAAATGTGATAATATTACTCAAGGTAACGTCACTAGGGGTATACAAGGGGTCAATTTGTGTTTAATGTTTATAATGGTAACATTGTTTCAAAAATAAGTGTTCTGGATTTTGTTTTCAGTAATTGTTTTTGTGGATTTTTGAAATAAATATTTTTAATATTTTAGCTTCGATGCGAAGCTGAGAAGGTATTGGTTTTACTAAGATGTGTTTTTTTTTTTTTTTTTTTGTGTCTGTTACCACTTTTTCTCAGCTCTCACCGAACCGATTTCTTTCAATGATACGTCAAAAGATCACAAATCGTATCTAGTCGAAGACATTACCCTTAAAAATTGAAAAAAATTCCCTCGTTCCCCGTAAAAGGGGGAAACCTCCAAAAAAATTACAAATTTAAAAATCGCTAATTTTCGAAATTTTTTCAATTTTTTTTACTTAAAAGTGCCATAACTTTTTCAAAAATGAACATATCAATATAAATTTTTTTTATATAGATGCATAATATCATTACCTTTAATTTGGTATATATTTTTCATAAATTTAACCCTTAACCTGCCCACAAGGGGGGATTTAAAATGACAACTTTTTTACAAAATATTAATTTTTTTAACTTAAATTTTGAAAATGTTCCGGAAGGTCTGACACTTTTATATATATCTTAAATTAAAGCTAATGTAATATGCTTTATCATGAAAAAAAAAAATTTCGGACTTTATCTTATCTTCATGGTGAAAATGGCTACCGAATGCTATTTTTGTGTGAAAATTTTCGATTTTGTATTTTCCATTTTTAACTTTATTATGCTATAACTTTTTGAAAAATGTATGAATCATTACAATTTTTATGAGAAGTAGTATTTATATAGATCTTTTATTCGACATACTGTTTTTTTAAATTGGACCATTTCCCTAAATACAGGGGGGATTCAAAACATAAAAATGCACATAGAAAGTAGAACTTTTTCAACGTAACTTTTGAAAGTGTTCCGGAAGGTCTGACACTTTTATATA